TGTTGTTTGAACCGTAGTATCAGTTTCTTGTCTCCTTTTAAAGGCTGAAAAGAATGTGATAAACAGCTTCGCTGTGCAGAGAAAACAAAAGGTTTGCAAAATAGAATTTCTCTTCTAATCCACAAAACATCGAGCTTTTTAGAGAGTAATGATAATGCCAGCCCTGAATTGTACTGCACACCAGCCACTAGGACAGTAACTAGTTGCCAAGAGTGACTTTGGGTGAGCGTTGTTGTAAATGAGGTTACCAGTTTGATCAGCTCCATCCACATCCCCAAGGTGCTTCCATACAGTGGGGATCACGAAGAAGCAGGAAACACTAAGTGTGCGGTGCTCGGTGGCCGGCACCCAGTCTGTACTATGAGGTCATCAGTGTCAAATCAAGTCACCAAACACAGCAGAAGTAGGGAGTTAGAAGGAGCAAGAGACACCCTCAAAATTCTCACAAGCTGGGGGAGAACAGAACCCCAATGACAGAGGCTACCATCTCTCGAGCACTTGTGCTGTGTGTTTGGTGCCGAGCTGGGTACTAATATTAGCACGTCATTTTCTCTGGTCTTCACAGTGACCCTCTGAGTTAGGAGGTGTCATTTCCACTGCATTCGTGAGCAGTCTGAAGAGTGACTAGGTGACTATCTGAAGGTCACTCTGAGAGTTGGTAAAGCTGAGATTCGAGACGCCAGTGGAAATGGTCAAGGGCATCAAATGGAGAAGCACTGGCAGAGGAGGGAGAGGTGGTCTTCATCCTGCCTGCTTCCCTCCGTGCCCCGCCTGTGGTGTTTATCACAAAAGTAGTGTGTGTTAATGGATAACAACAACAAAATCTGCCGGCAGTGTTTAAGGGGGGTAACGTGGAAACCAGAGCCCTCTACCCCTGTATTTGTACCCTGTCTCTGTAACTGCCCCTGAGCTACTTAGCTTGTGTCTTTCCTACATTTTCTGGTGGTCTAGGAGGAGGGAGGTAAGTTGCAAACAACTAACCACTGACTCAGGACTTTGCTGACCTAGCCAAGGCAGGTCATGTGCTGAAGGTCTGAGACGTACGGCTTCAGAGGGGCCTTGTGTGGAGTCATGTGACAAGTCACTGGGAACTGAAGTCCACTCTCACAACTCCTGCAGAGCATGTGTTCAGAAATTAAGGCTGTCAGGGCTTGAAACAACCTGCAGGCATTTGAGGTTTGCTGTCCCTTAGCCTTGGCAACCCCTCCTCCCTCCTGCCACACACTTTTGTTTTGGTTGTTGCTTAGTTGATATATTTTTGATACCTCGGAGGTAAGTTGGTTAGAAGCTGGTAACATGTATAGGAAAATATCAGCCCAGCGATGCTCAAGGGTGGTCTCTCACTCTCAGACTGTGGGCTCCCCCTTTGTGCCCTGCTGCAGAAAACCTCTTGGTAGAGTAGAGATGAGAGCCTTACTCTCTCTTGCTTTTCTATATTTTTAGGAAGTCGATCTGTGTTTACTTAGGATGGGTTGGGCTGTTGTTCTCATGAATGATGAGAAATGAGTTTGAATTGTTGTCAGATGCAAAATAGTCTAACTAAAAGGGATCATCCAGTTCAGTGGCTTTAAAATGTTTTTTTAAAGTTACAGAATCCAGTCCAAAAAAAATATTTAACATGGAAGCCTGATATATAAAACAGATTAAGGTGGAATGGTAGGTAGCCTGCAGTCATCCTGAGATAGTTACGCAGAACGAAGGCTCTGCAGTTCAAAAACCACTGATTCAGCCCGACCCCTTTATCGTGGCGATACGAAAATTAAGGTTCAGCATGCATGGACAGTGACTTGGTCAGGGTCCTATAGCCAGTTACTTGGAATGTTGAGAAGAAGATCAGATCTCCAGGTGTGGCCTCCCCGCAAGGCAGATACTCAGCTCAGGCATCTCGTTCCTCCTCTTACAACAGCAAAGATAAAAATTAAGTCATAATAACAGATTTCTAGCAGCAACTCCTGCCCCTGGACTTTCCTTCCGGCGGCGCTGTCGGTGGTCAGCGGTGTGGTATCTCGGCGAGGCCGTAAGCGTGTGCTGGGGGAGCCGGTGTCCGGAGCAGGCAGACCGGTAACCCTCCCTTCCCATCTCCCCTACTCAGTGTTTAACCTGGGGCAAGCAAGCGCTTGATTTCTCTGTCTCATTTTCTCATCTGAAAAAACACGCCAACTTTATAAGCTTGCAGCGAGGATCAAATGAGATACTGCTTGTAAGTATCTTGCATGAGCCAGGCGTGGACTGGATGCTTCCTGGTGACTGGGTGCTGGCCTTGTGGTAATGGTGCCACTGGTGCCAGTTGTGCTAATAATTGATTAACAGATTATAGTAGTATTGATGGCTGTTCAGGCTGCTCTGGCATCTTCCTGCTCATTTTCTGATTCCCAGGGCCCTGTCCCATATCTCAGCTTTATGCTCCAGCCTTTACCTTGCTGAAATGGACAAATGCGGTCATCTTCGCTCAGCGGGGCTAAGGAGGGCCTTTCATAAATGTCCATTGGTGACCTTTGTTGATTGAATCTTTTACCCACCCCTTTCCCCAGCTCACTCGCACTTGTGTCTCGCTCCTAGCAGAGCCCTCGGCGTGTAGTCCACACTCAGTATGTATTCGTTGATGTGAATGGTACTGCTGTAACATCAGAAAGGGAGGAGGCGAGGAACTGGACACCAGTCTGGGCGGCTGTGCTCCTGACCACCACCCTTGAACGTACACCTTACAGTCCTTTCACCAGCCCATCCCGTGCCTTCTCCTCCTCTCCCCTTGAGTTTACACTCTACGCCTCCTAACCAGCCGACCCTGTGCTCAGTGCTCCCTCCCCTTGAACTTGTACCCCATTGTCCTTTCACCAGCTCCCACACCTTGGCCTCTCAAACCTTCACGCTGAATTCTCTTCCAGGGCGTTTCTTGGTTGATCTTTCATGTAGACACTCTTGTACCTACCTCTACCTGGATGAGCACTCAGGATGTGCCCAGGTATGCCTTTCTTGTTCCATCTGTGAGATACTGTCCCAAACTCAGAGATCTCGTTCTCAACCCCCAACTGCATGTGTCACTTTTTGCGACCTATTTAGGGGATACAAACTGAGATAAACGAATGATGAGTAGAAGAATGTGGATGTTCTTTTAAAGTGAATGGTTAGCTCTCTGTTGCAGTTACGTGGTTGGCAGCAGTCATGATCGCCAGGGGTCACGAAATCAGAGACAGCAGGCAGCAGAGTTTGTGGAGTTCTCTACAACGCAGGCCTGTGTGTGCGTGTGCCGTGCATGTGCCTCCCTGGCATACCAGGACCCTGCTCTTGCGATGTGAGATAACAGGCCGTAAGCTTTTTTTAGCAATAGCTTGGTGGCTGGAAATAGAAAATTAGTTTCTATAGCTTAAAAAAAAAAAAACCACCACCACCACCACCAAAACTCTTTAAATACCATCTAGAACACTGATTCTCAGAGGGTGATTCCTGGATCAAGGATATCAGCGTCACTGAGAATTTGACAGAAATGGAAATTCTAGGGTCTCACCCCGAACTTACTAGATCTTTGGGGCTGGGGCCCAGCAGTCTGTTTTAGATCCCCCCGCCCTCACCACCACCACATTTCTGTTATGCTGAAGTCTGAGCACCACCGACCTAGCAATTGACTCCTACTTCGTCACTGGGTCCAAGGCTCTGATGAGGAAGGTGCTCTTGGGGTCTTAGGACCTAGATTAGGTCTGGCTCTTGGTTCTTCTTTATTCTAAGGCTGAGGGTGTCCAGAAAAGGTGCATCTGGTGAGATGATCTTTAATCGAGCCACCTTCTAAACCCAATGTTGAAAATGAAAGTTATACTCAGGATAGACTATAACCGAGCAAATGCTGTTGCTGTTTTATATACAGGTGATGTGTTGTAGCTCCCATTAAGATGTATTTTGTGGGTAATAAATACCTCCCCTACACACACCCACACATGCCCAACAATATTTTCACTGACTTTTGATTTCTGATTTTTGGATATTGAGTATAGTCTTGTTAGTGTGAACTTTTAATTTTATCATACCTTTCTCTTAAATGATCTCATGGTATATTTATTGAGGTATCAGATAAAGATGAATATATAGTTTTAAGCATTTAACGATGCTCTGTGATCTTTGGAAATGTCCTAAAGTTGCAAAATAGTATTAATAGTCATGGTCTAGTCACTAAAGGATAATTCTCAAACTGGGTAGAAATAAATGATTGGCTATAGATAGTTAGATGAGTGAAAATTTGGGGATTGAATACACAAGAATGCTTCTTTGGTTTTCAGGGTCTCAAATGTGAAATGGAAGAACCTGGATCCCAAATTCTAATAGTGATAGTTTGACTAGATGTGAGTTATCTCAGGTTACCAATACTAGCACATGTGAGTGGGTTTATCATACTCTAGTATAGAGTTCACATTAAGTAATCCTTTAGATACACTTTTTGCTAAAAGTGTTCAGTTTCTCAAGGAAATAATAGGAACTCTGGGATTTGTAGTCAGGAAACTCGAAATTTAATCTAGACTTTTTTTTTTTTAATTTTTGTTTAAATCTGTAAGATGAAAGTTTTTGCTTTATGAAAAATGTCTATTAACCATGACTAAAAGAAAAATATTTTTACCTACATAGTGGAAATCAGAAAATAAATGAGACAAACTAAATTTTCTAGCTGGATTTTCTAAATCTGAACATACACCATTTAATAATTTTTCTTGGAATCTGTTTAGGGAAAAAATTATGGTAGATTCTTTGAATTACTAATAGGGAAAATTATCTTTAAAGTGAGAATATGAGTTTTATGATATTTTTGCATTTAAGTAAACATTGTTTCTGGTTGATAGAAAGTTCTCTATATTTACTTAGTAGGCACGTCGAAAAAGTTACTGCTTCGTTTGGAATTTACATAAGCTGGGTTATTAACTGAAGTTTGCATTTTCAGTTAGGTTTTGGCTAATTTCTTTTTTGTAATTTTTAAGTGAAAAGTATAGTACTATTAAATCTGGAATATTTTCTTACAGTGATCCATACGTGAAACTTTCATTGTACGTAGCGGATGAGAATAGAGAACTTGCTTTGATACAGACAAAAACAATTAAAAAGGTAAGTGTCTATTCTTAATAAAATTTCATTTAAGTCATAACTTAATCCAATTAAATTATGTATTTGGGTTCTATAGGAGTGTATATTTTAAGTTTAAGATGGCAATATTTTTATATTAATCATCTCTCAGTATTAAATCTATAAATTCAACATAGATCAAACTTTTCAGTGTTAACCCAAGATATTGGGTCTGGCTTTTGGTTAAATGATTGTGAAAACAATATTCTTAAAATGAACATTCTTAAAAGTAGCATATTTTTTTTCCCCCCTGCAAAGCAAAACAAAGATTTGTTGGCTTGTTATTTTTTATAAAGAAGTTTAAAATAATATACTTTTAATGAAGTAGAGTAGCTTGGGGGATTGGCACAAAGGGAGTGTTTTCACTTGAAACAGGTATTTCCAAAGGAAGCAAAATACTTGTGTAGCCACAGAAAAAATTAATAATAAAGCTATGTTTACGCGTGTGTATGTTTTACTTTTTAAAATTTTTCATACATGATTTCATTAAAGATGTTTCCATAATTATATATATAATACTTAGTCTGTATTTGGGGCATTTGTTGAAGATGCCTGTTTCCTGTCAAACATGCTGTCTTTATCTGTGCTTCAGTATTATTTATGGACTACTATTTTTTTCTCACCACCTTTAGGTGTTGAGATAATACTGTGTGATAAGCACTTTCTGGAGACCATGATGGCTTAAAAAAAAAAAAAGAAAAAGGTAGCTCTCCTGCTATTGTGCAGACGCCTTGGCTCTGTGACCAGGTCATTTTGTGTAAGGAACAGCAGTTGTAGTGTGTCCTCTACCTGGCATTAAAAATCTGTTTTGCAAACAGGAGCCAGTGTTTTGATTAGTGGGGAGGATGCCTGTGAAGGACGGAGGAGGCCATTGTTTGCTGCGTTAGGCGCTGTCACTGGTTCAGTTATCAGTGGAGGGAGGAGGCTGGGGACCTGGTGCCTGCCGAACGCGAAGGAAGGGAGCCGAGAACCAGAGCCACTGAAGTCGGTGATTTGGGATATTGAACTATTTTTTCTTCGGAGAGGAGGCCCTCCTCCTCCTCCCCACGGTAGAGGGTGCAGCCCTGCCCGGCGGCGCGGCAGCCAGCCTCCTGGTTAGTATTTCCATGCTAAGAACTGCTTTCATGCTCCTGTCCTCCCCTCCCCTCCCCTCCCCTCCCCGCATGGCTGCATGCCTGGCCCTTCCTGGGTTTCGTGGTCTCACGTTGTCATCTTCCCTCACCTGTCCTCTGCTTCCTCCCCTCTGCAATTCTGTGAAGCTGGTTCCCACACTGCTGCAGCCCGTGGCAGGCCTGGGCCTGCCCTGCCTCCCTCCCTCTGACTGCCTGGCGCCTCTCTCCCTTCCTCCCTTCTCCGTTTCTCTTCCCCCCTTTCCCCTCATCACCGTCCAGGCTCCATTCACAGCTGAAAGTATGAAACCCGTTATTTAGGATTGCGTTCACTGTTGAGTTGTGGGTGGGGAAAGAGCTGGGTTTTTTTAAAAAATGCCAGTTCAACGTTGTAGGAATTCAGTGTTTTTTATTTTTTATGGCATGTTGTGTTAATTTTTTTGTTTGTTTGTTTGCGTCTTCCTGCACTAGTATAGTAAAGGAAATAAAATAGGTTGAGAAAGGCAAATATTCTGATGACAAAATATCCATAGCCATTGATGAGGTTGTGATTTTTCAGTCTCAAATTTTTACATATTTTTTGAGAGATATTTAAGAGTATTATGCATGTCCAAATGCATATGTTTATATATATTCTTTCATAGAGCTGTTTCTTCTTAATTTCGAAGACCATTTGGCAGTCTATCTATTGTCTATGCTGAGGACAAAGTATCATTTCCATGTCCTTATGCGATAGATATTTAAAGAGATTGACATGAAGTTAGATGGATGGATGAATGGATAGAAAGATCAAAGAGTAGGGAGATGAATATTTTTAAACCTGGTTATTTTGGGAAAAAAGATAATCACTTCTGGTTTATAACTGGCAGGGTTTTTTTTTTTTTTTTCTTGTTATATGATGTGATCATTAATATTGTTCTTATAAAATGTTCTTTGGATTTTAGTATTTATGTAAATAGTGAACACTTCCACTCTTCTACCACCTTCTTCATTTCTCTCCAAAATGGATTCGTGGCAGGTCGAGGGACATGAACAAAGTTTATTTCCTTCTTGGTAGAATAATCATATCAACGTTAATTTCTTGAAGTATATCTTTATATTTTCACAACAATGGCTCTTTCTAGGTCTCTGACATTATTCCTTCTGATTGGTAGCTTGCAATTTATGATTTCTTATCGGTGAATCATCTGTTTCATAAGTACATCCTCTCCCCATCTAGTTTAGTTTATAGAATAATCTCAAATAATTGACGAAGTGCTTCTTTTATCACCATTTTGAAAATCTCTTCGCTTTTTCTTAATCAAAAAATGTTTAAGCAAATATGTGGACCGCTTTGTACTAGTAACTGTTAATATTTCAAAGACTGTAAAAGATATTACAAGATAATCTCTCTTCCAGACGCTGAACCCAAAATGGAATGAAGAATTTTATTTTAGAGTAAGTTTTTCATTTTTTGTAACAATTGTTATTGATAACTAGATTGATATATTATCTTAACAGATTCATACTGAGTGAAAGCTATTAAATTTTTATTGTGAAATTTTTTTATTATGAAATATGTTTGGGTAGCCTCCTAATGTGTCCCAGTTTTTCAGACTGTGACTCGTAGTAACAAAATCTGAACTTGTTTCATTTGGGTATATTTTAGGGAAGTAAAAAGGAAGTTATCCAAATATCGTAGTTTTAGCTTTTCTACTCAATTTTTTCTTTAAAAAAATAAGGTAAAATATAGTTAAAAGAGTAGCTTAATTATTTCTGTGAGATGTACTTTATGAATTATTTTAGAGGTAGGGAAAAACAACAGAGGCAACACGATTAAAAAGAAGCCTAAAAATTACCAGTCATTTTCCAGTTAGGAAGGAAAATTTTTGAAAATCAAATATTTAGTGTGAGTGTATTTGTATAGTATAAAATTACTTCTGGAGTGTAAATATCACTGAATTAAGTAAAATTTTCTTAACCTTTTGTGCTTAATATCTAGAATAACTATATATAGAAATGACTGAATCCAGTGAATTAACGAAGATTACCATTTAGTGAATTTTTCTGGTGGTTGCTGGTTTTTTTTGGTTGTGGTGGTTTTGTTTTTTGGTACTGAAATTTTGGAAATGTTAAACCGCTCAGCTATTTAATAAAAAGAAAAGGATTTTTTCTCTTCAAATTGAATGTTTTCATTGTCTGTATACCTGTGATATTAAAAAGTACTTTACCTTCAGAAATGTTCCAGATGAGACCTTGTCGATTCCCAAAGAATAGGATTATCATTTAGACCTATTATAATTTCGTCCTGATTTGTTCCTTTCAGTCACGATAGTATTTTATGTGTTCTAAACTTAGTTCACAATATACATCTGTTTTCTATTATGTTCAGGGCTGAAATATGGCATTGATATTCTAATACTTGATGAGATCCTATATGTAGCCTCTACCAGATGTACTTTAAATTACTTCATGAAGGACTGGAAGGCTAATGGGGACAGATAGATGTTATTGGCTCTTAGTTACCTCTCAAATACAGCTTTCCACTTGTAAAAGTCCTAATTACTTAGACTACCTTCAGTTTAACACCTTGGTCACATTTATGTAAATTTTAGTACATCCAAAATTTTTTTTCAACTAATCTTAGCTATAGGCATATGTAAACTCTATTTTCCGTGGCTTTTTTTTTTAAGGGCTTTGTTTTATTCATCCTATAAGTCTTTCTTGAATGCCTACTGTCTACTGTGTGCCGGCTCCTGCCACAGCCCTTCACAGGGCTTAGGTAGACACTGACCTCCCCATCCATCTCCATGCTCTGTCACTAGGCTAAGGGCAGGTCAAGGGGCAGGAAGCACAAGTCATACTCTCTGTGCTGTACCATCCAACATCATTTCATTCCACTCTCCATCGTGAAGCAGCCGAGGCTCACCAACAATACTCGGTCCCATGTCAGGCTCTGCCACATGCAACCATTCTAGAAAAGCCACCCGAGGACTCCCGTTCTCTGCAGGTTCCTCATCTCTCCTGTAGGAGAGAGAGGCCCTCACTGGATAGGGCCATTTCCAGGACTTCCATGTGATAATATAAACAAGAATACCTACCACCACGTCTCACCTGTGGTTGGTACTCACAGAATGATACTTGAGTCTGAATGATGATACCTGACACTTTGGGGAGGTTTTGGTAAAGAGACAGAAAGAAGCAAAAAGACATCGAAACCCCAGTAGCTCTGATATTGACCCCACAGTTGCGGGAAGTGGGGACAGCTTTCCTTTCCTTCTCTCTCTAATGGTTCAAAGCATGGGCTCTGGAGACAAATGGGTCAGACTTGGCTGGGGTTCATTTGCCCTGGATACTAGCTGTGGTCTCTTCGGCAAGAATCTTTACCCTCATGGTCTCAGCTCTGATTGTGAAATTGGAATGATAGTTAATATATCATAAGGTTGCTGTCGCGCTTGAGAGCATGTGTTTTTGATATTTAATAAGGTAGTACCTAAAAAATAAGATAAGTATACAGGCATAAAATTGTTTTTACAGTTTTCATTGTTTTTATCGTTGCTGTTATTACTATTATTACTTATCAGGCCTAAGTGATCTCAGGCATAGACCTTGTGAAGCTCGAGCCTTTGTCTAGAGACACGAGCATGATTTTTATAGAGAAGATTGAGAAACTCTTTAGAATTATCCTTTCTTATATTAGAAAAGCAACAAAAAGCATTTTCTTCTATTGTGCCTAAATGTTAGCATAGAACTGCATAGAAATCAGTGATAGAAAACTTGATTTAGTAGGTCCAGGGTTTCCAGAAGAGATCAGTTGTTCTGATTACACAGTTCATTGGGTGCATTATAAGTCATTCTATTCTTGGTCTCTTGTTTTATCCTTTGAATTATTTCTGCCCATTTTTGAAATACTATTTATGTCCCTATAGGTAAACCCATCTAATCACAGACTCCTGTTTGAAGTATTTGATGAAAACAGATTGGTAAGTGGGTCCCATTTTTCATTTTTGGTTTATTAATTAAAAACTTAATTTTTAGAGCTGTATCTTTTAAAATTCAGTGTTTATGTAGTACTTCTGACAGTATATATGCCACATCCCAAGACTTTATTTTTGTGTGGCTAGGACAGAAAATTTATTTGTATATATGCATGTTTTTATCATAATTAACATTAGTGAAAGTCACCTGGATGATATAATAATAAAAGCATATGCTTATGCTCTTCTGCTGAAATACAGAATGGTAGGCAGATCTGTAAAGAGCGCACCATTCATATAAACAAAGCTTTCAGTGATTTTAAATATGAGCCAGACTACAATGCTGCCACCTATTCAACAGTGAATTGATGGTGATTCTTTTTTGGGAAAATAAAAATCTAATTAACAGTAGATAGCAAAAAGTGAATCTATATTTAGGAGGTAAAATTAAGCTATATTTTAAAAGTAGTACTTTCTCAAGGGAAATTAGTAAAAAGTACCTTTAAAGAACCAAAGATATGCCTGAGGCATAAAACGGATACAGACTAACATTTTATATAGAGATCGATAACTCGATAAGATATAGATATATCTACACCTAACTGATAAACCTAAGATTTTGATTTAGAAATGGAATTTCAGAAGCAAATTTCACTTAAAGCATTTCGTCAGTTAAGTAACTAGAATGTATACATCAAGTACCCCTAAGTCAAGTGTTCCAACTCAGAAAATGAACATTGTTATGTTATGTGCAAGCTTTTAAGGTACCCTCAAGTAGCAGTATAACTTAGTGCACTCTGTTGTCTAATTTACTTTCCCTGAAACTCCTGTATATTTTTTGGTTAATGTGAATGTTCTCATGAATGCCACTTGCTGCACGATTCAGCTGAAACTCCCAAGGTTCTGAATAGCGTGAAGTTAATATAATATTTGCCTTAGAATACAACCCGCTTAATTCCCTGTCTTCGCAATTGAGGGAAGTGAAGTCTAGAGCCCTTATGTAATTTAAACATATCAGTCAGGCATAGTGCCCTGGTGGAACCTGCTGTTTTCCTAGTCTCAGGCCAGTGGTGATGAATAGCCAGATTTTTCACCCTGATTTTAAAAGTTGGGTGTGTCTTTAATCTCTTGTGCTTGGTATTATTCTTCAAATTAGCCAGTAGATTCTGGCCTACGATCCTGACGTCTTTTCTATTAAAAATATATTTGGGTTCTTGGTGGCTTCGCATTGAGTTCAATATTTTATACCTCAGGTGATAATTAGTCATACTGCATAACTAAGTCAGTTTTCCTGTGTGTATGAAGTTATTTTTTTGTTAATTGAATGAGAGAGTCTGCTGAGGGTGCAGCCCTTAGCACCCGCCTCTCTCATCCGGGGAAGACTGGATTAGGCAGTGTTCAGCAGAGTGACAATAAGTCCCTGGAGATAGAGATGCAGCCACAGACTAATCCTTATCTCTCATTTATTGAGTGTAATAACACTTCTTCAAGGTGAAGGAAGGGTCAGATTTGAGAGAAAATTGCCTCTTGTCAGATGTGTTCTAATTCATTATTTAATTTTCTTCTGTTAAGAGAAATTCACTGTAAAAAAATTTGAGTTTCACATTTCCATTATCTAACACAATGACTTGTCGAGATGACCTTGCCATGGGGCCTGAACTATACTTCCAAACCAAAAAAAGGCTTTGAATGCAGAGATCTAAGATATCCTGTGTGAATATAAACTCTATCTGAAAAATTGTTTTGTGACATTAATGCCTAGCTTTGCCTCAGGCCACCTGCAGTGGTGTTACTATGCAATGAATGCTGCTGGTGGTTTTTCTTCTTTAGCTATTAATCTAGCTAAGACAATACGTGACTGTAGTGGTACTTGGCAGTTTTAGCATTAAACAAACCAGCTTCCATTTCTCTCATAGAGATCATTTTTGGCATTTAAAACACATGCCTTTAGAAAACAGGTTTTGGTGTATGTAAACACAGGGTTAATCTTCCACACCCTAGACTCCAGAGCTGTTGACAAAGTCGTACTTTGCAGATTTTAAAATAAATTTTTTGTCACTCTTCGCAGCCTGGTATTTTCCCCTCCTATTTTTTTTACTCCCTCCTAAATAAACCTCCTTGTTAAATAACTAATGTTACTGGATCATGGAAAATAGTAAATTTAAAACACAGAATATATCCAAGTTTACTATGAATCTGATGACACTTCTTTGAATGTGGGCTTTTATTTCTTAGCTCCTTTTTGGCCCTTTGCAAAAATAGCAAGATTCCATGTTTGTATCCCAACTGTGTTAATATTGCTGACTTTTTACTGGAAAACAGTCAGCGCTGGGCAGCCTGTTTTCTGTATGATATTTAAGTTAACTTATGGCAAAAACCACATGTACACCCTTCTTCAATTTTCCTTTCTTTTGGGGGATGGGGGGCGGTGGATGTAGTTGTTTTTTTCCCCCTTCTATCTGGCATGGGAGAGAAAATGTTTTCTACAGCTGGCTCCCTTTTCTCTGGTACTTGCATGTCTGACAGTCATACTGTGCATGAGATCAACACACACACACACACACACACACACTTTTAAATGAAGTCTTGTAGCAGGAGCCAGACCACTAACTGGCAGTGCTGTAACTTGTGCCCCTCCAGTTAGCTATTTTGTTACTTGTTAGCTATTTTGTTACTTATAGATCATAGTCTAATTATTTAACATTAAAGGGACACTAATTCTGTAGGGCATGTAGCCATATTTATAGTACATTTTATTAGTTTGCATTCCATCGGGGTAGTGTGGTGATATCATAAATAACAGGAACCTAACCTCCGAGGCTTGTGAAAGGGTTTTCCTAGAGCCAAGTCATTTTTACTTGTCATTTGGTTCGTCGGGAAGGTGGGGAAATACCGTGTGTGCTTGTGCGTTCAGTGCCAGGTCTCTGCATTGGTTAGAGAGAGTTCCAGTGCACAGCTCCAGTTAGGAAAGAACTGTCTTGTGAATGTGATGCGGCCAGATTTATAGCAGCATGGCTCGGAGTGTGTTTGTTGCCTTAGTCAGCTGTGAGAGCTCCCTGCTGGGGCCACTCCTGGCTGATGGAAAAGCAGCAGCTGGGAAGGTGCTGTTTCAGGCTCTTGCTGTTTAAAAAAAAAAAAAAAAAAAAATGAGAGCGAGAGGGGGGAAAACTCCACTAAGTCCACAAGCTGGCATTGGAGGGGGAGACGGCAGTCATGTGGTTCTGGCCATCCTACCCTCTGTCACAGTGTGGATGAGAGCTTTTTGCTCTTATCCAATCATGCCTGGAATGCCGCTTGCCACTTGGGTTATTTCTGCTATCTGTCGCTCTTGGTGCCGCAGTGCTAACCGTTTGGCAGATGGGACACTTTTTCTTGGAGTTTGTGTCTTCGGTTTTTGACTTCTGGCAGTGCCGGGGTGTTGTTGCCGCTCGCCCTCTCCCTCCCTGCCCCCTTGGGCACCATGGCCCATCGGCTTCGGTTTCATTTTGGCTCCGGTCGCAGCAACACAGCCCCCGAATCAGAGATCCTAGACCAGGAGAGAGAAGACGACTTTTTCATGGCATTCCACACCCTCCCGCGGAGGAGCGGCCCTCACCCCTTCGCCCACCCCGGAGCGGAAGACGGCGGCGGCCTGCAGGAGGCCGTGGGCGCGCTCAAGCGCAGCACGTCCATGTTCATCCCGCAGCTCCTGAGCGCCGTGGACGCACGGCCCACCCGCAGCTCGTCCGTGCAGATCTCGCTGCAGCGCAAAGCGGCCGACGGCGCCCCCGACGCGTGCGGGCCGCCGGAGGGCCTGGATGGCGACGCGGGGTTGCTATCTGGGGGCAGCTGCCGGGACCCCCCAGAGCCCCAGACCCCTGAAAGCTCCCCTCCCAGGGACGCCAGGAGTGCAGGCCCCCAGGTCAATGGCACATGCGGCCGCCGAGCGCGGGGCCCTGTGGCTGCCGATGGCCGTGAAGAGGCCGAGCCTGCTGCCCCCCGGGGACCTGAGGGTGGCGGGCTCCGGATCCAGCACCGAGCCTCCAGCGCTGACGTGCACCAGGTGAGGCTGACGCCCTTCGGGGCCGATGGCCAGGGCAGCCCTTCGGTGCCAGAGCCCAGGCGCTGGTCCTTGCAGCACGTTCCGGATGCTTCTGGAAGTTCCGGGAAGCGGTGCTTTGTCTTCCAGTTGCAGCAGCCGCCACCAGGAGCACCGGGGGTTGGTGGTGACTTTAACTTCGGGTTTACAGGCACGAAAGGGGACAGGTTGGTGAGGTACCCCCGCATCCGGCTGGAAAGGAGCACCTCATATCCCACGCAGCCCCGAACGG